TTCATGCACTACTGATGCCATTTTTACTCTGATAGAAGGCTTGTCCACAGCTTGCAAATAAAATTACATTATTAGGATATCACATTTTTTCCACAGTCACTAACACAATGCAGGCAAGTCTGGTAAATATAGAGAATATATTTCCAACATCCAAAGGGCAGAAAATCCACAGTGAGACAGGATTCCCCACTACTAAGATATTGGAGGTGACTTCCAGTAAAGCATTTCTACAGAATGAGTTAAATTTAACAACCATCTAACAGCCTTGTAACAACCTCTGGCAGACTAGACCCCTTTAGGTCATAAGGAGGAAATCCGGCAACCAAAAGGGACATTGTCAGCTACTGCAATCTCACAGGATTGCCTACGAAGAAAGATGACATCCTTTTATAAGAGCATCAATCCTGCAGATGACACCAAATAAAACACGCCTCCAGCATGTCTCCATCTCACACACTCCACCAGTTGAATCTGAACAATTCCCAGCAATGAAAATAAAGAAACCAAAGCTAACAAACACAAGTCTGCCTTGGATTATTCATATTTTTATTTGGATGTATTTGCACTTACCCTCGATTTGCCTTCTGCGTCCAATAAGTGATCCACGTACGTTACCTCACCCACTACAAATCAGATTCCAGAGACGACACACACCGGGGGGAGAGAAGCCGAGAGAACAATGGGGGTTTAGAACAGAAACAAGTAGGGCGGCCAGTGACAGTGAACTCAGACTGTCAATCCGGAGCCTTCCCCCAGCACCTCAGCACAATATGGTACAGGTCTACAAAAAGCAAGCTTGGGTCTTTAAAAAAAAGTATATATATAAAATCAAGACTTCTTAGCCTGTCCTTGTTGGAATTCTCCCGAAGCACCAAAAGCAATAGACTGAGGACAACAACTGTTGAAATGGCCATCAACCTTCCTATTTGGATATAATACCGTGAACACCACCTTCTAGATGAAGATAATTAACCAAGTAATTTCAAGTAGGCAAAACCCTTTCAATGCCTCAGCCTATTTCATTGCAAACTGCTCTTACTTTGTCAAATGTTGCCATTTTAAACCTCAGACTAATGCATCAATACATTTGTCCTTAAGCTAATCCTAGAAGGAAACCTACATCTAGAAAACTAACCATAATGACGACAAGCTCTTAGGGAACAGAAACATCTCGACTCTACAAACATGTTCGTAAAGTGGACCTGGTCCCAGAATGCACAATATCAGAATTTTGATTCAGCGTCGACCACAGCCATGCTTTCGTTTCAGATCATGTCCGTTCAACGTATGGACATCAGTGACCAAACCTGTAGAGCCAAGGACAATGCATAAGAAGTTGCTTCATTTTGTAGACCTGTACCCCAAAGAAATCCCCAACGCATAGCTGTTTGGCACAACATGGCGATCTGCTGAGAAAACATTTGCTTGTCAAGGTCGCACCTAAAAAAGAAAATGCATATTTACTCCAGACAGTTGTCATAAAACAAATACCAGGCACTCCTTCTGAAAAAGGATTGTACCCTTCTTAACACATGCTATATGTTAAAGTAAATGCCAATTAAGTGCATTACCTGATACATCTTATACCGATACCCCATAACTAAACAACTACTTTCACGAGTAACACCACGTTAAAAATCAATATTGTACATTTAAGAGAATCTTTAATCTAATACCTACTAAAAGACAAAGTTGCTGCTTCACACATGATTTCATTTGACATGTCTCCAAAATGCTGACCAATTTATGTCCCCAGAGCTCAGGCTTTGCTGTTGGTTACATGTTGCAAGTACTGTATATTTTCTCAAATATTTCGAGAAAAGCATCTCATTGTGCCACTCATGACCCAAAGCCGGTGGATTTTCACATAGGTTTCACCAGCTTTACACGTGCACAACCTTCACAAAAACCATAGCAAAAAATACACCCCAACACCATTCTCATCAATTGAATCAATGACAATAGAGCACACGTGTACTTGGGGGAATAGCTTAGTTTACCTTCAGCCCCCAAATCACTAGGTCCGCCTCTGACAATGACAAACAGTTGCAATGTCAGTGCACCAACATTTAGGTTTAAACTGTACTACCAGCACTGTTCCCGTACTACCATGTTATGTCCTGTTCCTACATGGCACCAAACCCTTTGTAGTTTTACATGTACATTATTTATGCAAAGTAACTTAAAAGTCTGAGTTCTGTAAAAGAACTAAATCTGATTTTCTTTTGACCACACTGCATATCCAAAATTCATTTTCAAAGCAAAGGTTTGTGGTGCAGTCATTTGTTTACCTCTTTGGTGTAGAGCAAATCTCCCATGACATTTCCTGTAAGACCCGAGTTGTGCCTGGACACCATCTCTCCCTGCAGCTCCACCAGCAGCCACTCTGGACAAGGGCCACCATCCCCACTGCCTCTACAGGCGCACACACACATAGACAGCGTCTAGGGGACTGCAGGATATGGTTCTTATTACCATTGCTAACTCTGAGAGACGAGACAGTCCAAGTAACTTCAAAACAGTGCTGATTTATTCAAAGGATCACAGGTAAAATTAACATTACACGCTCAGGTATCTTGCACCTCCAAACTGCTCACAGGCAGATGTAAGATGAAAGACCCTGACCCCCCCAGGCCTATACATTATATCCCCTCGGTTGGGCTAGCCCCATACTACACAGAAACGTCAACCGAGACGTCTCTGTTACCAGCTTTGCAGCTGGTCATAGCAGTAGTCAAAACATGAAGTAAATCAATGTGTGTGTCTGTTGATTAAGTGGTGTGTAGCTAAAAACATTCTCACACGACCTCTAGTAACATGTCGTGATATTAAACATAAGAACATATTATGGCTAAGGCTACAGTTATACATGTCATAATAATAATATTAAACACCCTGTCTGCTGACAGTCATCAACTCTTCTCTCTAGTTATCCTTGACCAGATGTACCCTGTAGAAACTCATAAGCATGACTAAGCATTTAACAGTCTAACTAGACATCCTATCTCCACTAAACATTTCTAATACATAAAGTATCTATCCAATATCTATCTGACTAAAAATACATAACAGGACCTAGAGAGACTTCGTCTGGAAATTCATAACACTTCATCTTATGAGTTAATATATTATCGTTACTACTACTACAGAACGGAAGGAGAGAGAGCTAACAATTTCTTCCTGGTGTCCCTAAATGCCACAGAAAATCCCACTCAAACTCAAGTTATACTGCTGAAATCCGTATCAAAACGTTTAATAGCCATCATGAGCTAGCTACTGTTTAGTTCGATATATAAGAATTTCACTCAGAAGCACTTGATAATGCGTTAGCTATTTTACTAACCTAGCGATAGTTATCTTATAGATAGCAACGTTACCTGGCTGTAAACACGCGCTTTCAGCAGGTAACGGTAATATTACAATTAGTCCACGGTTCTTACCTTATGACTATTTGAACCATGACAGACAGACAGCGCAGACCGCAGTGTAACATAAACAAAACAAAATATGTTATTAGTCCATTTACACAAAATAAGTCCCCACACAGTTAACCAGCACAATTCAGGCAGCGTTCAGACTTCAGTGATATTTCCCGCCAGCTGTGCGTCCCGTCGTTATGATGACGTATTTCCGTTACTTACGTTCTGCTTGAATATAGTTCCGGCTCAAAGGTTTTCAACGTGGTCCCAATGTTTTGCAGCGTGTGGTGTCTGTAACAGAGAAAGTCTGGTCAACGTGAAGAAAATAGCGGGTAAATAGTTCCTGATAGTGATGGTTAACAGTCTTATATGAGTTGTTAAACACAAAGTTTGCATTCCGTGTGTTTAACTTGTGAGGTTTTGTTGGACAGCGTATTTACAAGTTGCCTGTATGTTTTCGTTAATAGTAAAAATGGGCGAATTTAAGGTGCACCGTGTCCGGTTCTTCGACTACATGCCAGGTGCGATCACAGCCATGGCGTTTAACATCGGAGCGGCTGGCTCTGGCCCGGGCTGATGGGGCCGTGGAGATCTTCAACTTTGCTGATAGTTACTTTCAAGAAAAGGTAACTGTTCAGAGCAAGTCCTGATAAGTTACCCTTCCCACATGGTATACGTGTAACTAGATTTTTTTTAAAGTCGTCTGCTTGGATTAACAACTGAACAGCATCACTTTCATTGTTAAGGTCCCATGTGTTAGACGTATTCACTCTGTTCTACATAAAAATGCCAGGTCACATTGTATCCATTCATTTTTCACTGAACAAGGAAACGCTAAACTGCTTAATTAGTTAATAGAGATTTTCAGTGCAGCGTTTTAGAACAGTCGGGTTTGTTGCTGCAAAGCAGATACTTGGAACAGCAGGTAAATGTAGAGGGATCATCTCTAGGCTTGTTTTGATGGACAGGTGATGCCAGGACAGGACGGCAGGGCTGCTGAGGCTCTGTGTTGGGTGAGCCAGCGTCTCTTCAGTGCTGGACTGAATGGACACATCACAGAGTATGACCTGGAAAACTTAAGACCCAGACACACTGTGGCAGCCTATGGAGGACCAATCTGGAACATCAGCAGTAACAGCCAAGGAACACTGCTAGCGGTCAGTCAAGACCTTCTGGATATTACATTTACTCCACCCCACCCTAATATTCAAGTTGTCCCAGCATTTAGAGGAACTGAATGCATGTTTTCTGTGCCAGGTGGGTTGTGAAGATGGGACAGTGAAAATGTTTGAAATACAGCAGGAGAGGATTCAATTTCAAAGAAATCTTGACAGACAGAAAGGTAAGAGAGCAAGCTGATTCAGCAGTGTTTGTTCTTTTCAGCTGTTATGGTCATAAATGACATACACTCATGGCCAGAAATTTTGGCTCCCCACCCGGGTTTGCTTTGCTGCTTCAGCCACTGGGTTTGATTTGATTTGACTTGATTTATTCTTTCAAACATGCAGAACAAATGACATCAACACACACATAATTACACAAATCCAGCCAATGCTAATCCAGAATCAGTTTGCTTATACCTAGTACATGTTTGAATGGAGTAGGAAGAAGTCAGACTTATCCAGTCCTACCCCATAACATCATCTTATACAAAAAATTTCATGCATCATTGGCTGCAAGCAGTATCTCTACATAGGTAATTCTCTTCTTCACCAGACAAGTAATACACAGAAAATTTAAAACAGAGTGTTTCCTTCCTGCATTCTTGATTAAATCTCTTATTCTTGTATAACACATACATTTATATTTATATTTAAACTCCTCAATTCTAGTACTGTTTTTCATGTCCACACTTAAATTATTCCATAATTTGACCCCACTTATAGAAATACAGAATCTTTTTTTGGTTGTACGTATAGCATGAACTTTTAAATTTAAGTGACCCCTTAAGTTATATCCCCCTTCCCTTTCAAAGTGTTTCCCCAGTTTTCAACGCCATACTCCAAATATGGTAATATCAATGCAGAATACAAAATGCGAAGTGCTTTCACGTCCAGCATATATCTAACTCTTGCCAATATCGATATATTTTTAGCTATTTTATGCTGAATATATCTGATATGAGATTTCCAGGAGAATCTGTCATCAACCATGACACCCAGAAATTTGATGTCATATACTTGTTCGTTGTTAGCACCCCCAATTTTCAATTGAAGTTCATTATGTGGTCTACGATTCCCAAATGTCTTGACTATGTGTAGCATTATGACATCTGAAGACTACCAATGAATTCTGGGGCCCAGTGTCAGAAAGTTGGGTCTTCATCAGAGGTCATGGGTCTCACAGCAGGACAATGACCCAAAGCAGACTTCATAAAGCACCAGAAGTGGTTTCAGACAATGAGCTGGAGAGTTGTGAAGTGGCCAGGAATGAGTCCAGGTCTAAATCCCATAGAGCTCCTGTGGAGAGATCTCAGAACAGCAGCTGAGAGAAGGAACCCTTCAAACCTGAGAGACCTGGAGCAGCTGGCAAAAGAAGAGTGGTCCAAAATTCCAGTAGAGGTGGAAGAAACTCTCTGATGGTTACAGGAAGGGACTGATTTCAGTTATTTTGTCCAAAGGGTCGGCTACCAAATATTAAGATGAAGATGTCAATAATTCTGTCCAGTCCATGTTTGGAGTTCTTTGTGGAATGGATCAGATTTGGCATTTTGTGTTGTTCCAATGCAAACAAACAAACAAACAAAAAAAACATGAATGAGAGCGGCAAAGACTTTGTGATTGCAGTGATTTTCTGAGTAACAATATTTTTCACCATGACTGGAGCTGTGCTTACAGTTACATCACTATGCAAACATTATATTTAACTGATAAATAATAATGTGTCCCTTCAACAGACTTATTATTTGAGCTCCTTAAAACGACCAGTGTTCATAATGCACAACAATCTTTTACCCTGCCTGTGACCTGGTGATGATAGCGGTTTATTTTTTATGATCTTCCAGGTCGTATTGTCTCTCTGTCCTGGCATTCCTCAGGCATGCTGATTGCTGCTGGCATGATGGGCATGATCAGAATTTTTGATGCTGACACAGGTAAGCAGATACTATTCAGTCCTGAGGTGATTTGCACAGTCAACACTGAGCCTAAGATCAGTTAAAATATTCAAATGAACCATCACAAAGTGAGTTTGATATCTTGCTAAAACTCCATGTATTCTGATTTTGTTTGGTTTTGCTGGCTTCAGGCCATGCCACACAACGACTGCTGGTGGAAAGAGGTATTGGAGCATCCAAGAGCAAAGAGGTGGTGGTTTGGTGTGTTGCATTCCTCTCTGACCACACTATCATCAGTGGTGACTCTGCAGGAATGGTCCAGATCTGGGACGGATTTACAGGAACTCTGGTCAGAACTCACCTGGTTACCAAGTGGGACGTTCTGGCTCTTTCTGTTTCACAGGTAGGTGTGCAAGCAACAATTAGGACTTTCACAAATTCTAGGCAGTTTTAGGTACACAACCCTACAGAATCAGTGATGTTAAACTGTAAATCTTTAACAGGATGAGAGCAGTCTGGTAGCAGGTACATCAGAGGGTACTGTCATCCAGTTCCAGTTCATCTCCTCTACTGTGGACCAGCAGAAGAAGGAGTGGGTCAGAACTAGGACCTTTAAAAACCACTCCCATGATGTGAGGGCACTTGCCCACACCGAGACTGCTGTAGTATCTGGAGGTCAGTTAAATGTGCTGTTGGTGTTTGTTTGGCATACATATGCTATTGTGATGATCTTTTAAATTGAATGTGATCCAGACTGAATGGTGATGAAGTTACAGTTTCATCATGCCAAGTAGGGAAAAAGCAAAGCAAGTGAGCTTTTTCCAAGGTAACACAGCTGACCCTGCTCCTCCATCCTCGGCATCCAAGATTGCGCAGTGTTTTGAGCAACAGACCGCAGCGGTCTCCAGTACTTCTCTGGTCTCCTTCTCTGGTTACCACTCAGGTAATCCTGCGTTCTTCACTAACAAATGTCATTCGTTTCCCACCTGTGCTGCATCTGGCCTCCGAAGTTACTCTGACCTGACTGTCACGGGTCTAAAGAAGGATCATATTCCATTCCACAGGTCACTTAACAAGGTGACTCCATTTCAACAGTTTCTTCTTCTACTCTGCACTTGAGGAAATGAGACATTCAACCGTTCGACCTCACATCCAGATTAAAAACAGGCAGCCTTGTAGCATAGCCACTAAGCTAGCCTGCTCTACTTCTGCTCCCTGTGCTACGTCCGTTTCTGGCACGGGGTCATACGCAGCTTCCTCTTCTGCTTCTTTTCAGTTCCCCATAAAACAAGAAGAAATAAGTTACAGTCTCATCACGTCACTAACTCAAAGTATTTTGTTTAGTTCAAATCTAAATGATCACTTTAGAGGCATGAAGAGAGGAGAGCATCATTGGGGGGGCAGCAGCATAACTAAGAGAAGGCTCAGGGTTCCCCCTGGTCTCCCCTGATCATATCCTGCAGCTCAGTTTCTGTCACACTCCTCACGGCGTTTAACCCATCACCAGCACTGCCTGCAGTGGGTTTTGGGGGCATAGGGCTCAAAACGATTCTCAGACTCATGACTGTTTGAACTCTGGCAATTCTTCTATGTTCAAATCCATCCTTTCACAGCCACCACAACCTCATGGGGTCAAGAACAGGAACGGCAAACTGTCCTCGTCCGCTTCAACAAAACTGCAGCCATTGACATTATCAACACAGGTTGTAGCGACTCCCGAGCACCAGGATGCCTACATTGTTTCCATTTTCTCTGACACTAGGATGTCACCTGTCCCTATCTCTGTTCATACGCTGGCTCACAAGATCCATAACATTGGTGGATAACCCTACAGTTATTGGGATTAGTTACAACTATCTTTGTTTTTTTTAATGGGGCTGTGAGTTGAACCTGGCTCCACTTTTGCAATAATGACAGCCAGTGTCACTCAACAAATCACTGGTTAATCAGAAATGTGCAAGTGTGTATTTCTGGTTCAGAGCACCCTGTATGTTAGAATAGATGTCTGCTTTTTTGAAGTGTTCAAAACATGGGAACGAGTACTGTCAGTGTATTGTACCATCATCTTAAACGTGAACCTGTCATAGGACAGGAAGATGGTGATGATCAGATGTTGTAATGTTTGCAATTGTGTCAGGTATGGACACCCAACTGGTAGTGCGACCCCTGCTGGACAAGGTGGAAAAGAACACCCAGGAGTCAGCACTGCGCAAAATAGCTTTCCCACATGTGAGTGCATAATCCGTAGAAGAAAACCTCCCACAGATCATTAGCGTTTGGAAAAGGACTTAATCTTATACGTTGTCATATTGTTTTGTGTTGGCCAAAAAGCACATAAATATATACCTGATTAGCTTTTTATACATTTGACACAATTTTAATATATAATAAGGAGCATATTTAAGAAGAAAATGACTGTTCCCATGGTACATGATTGCCCTTATCTGTCTTCCATGTAGAGAAGCCTCGTTTGTTGTGCAAAGAAAGCAGGGCAGCTGCTTTTCCAGTTCGCTGAACATTTAGAGCTGTGGAGACTAGGGGAAAGCGATGGACATGGTGAGGAAAATGCACACATCCATAGAAACACATTAACAGAAATAACAAGCAGTAAAAGTAATGTTGAAAACTAAAGATCTAAGAAATGTTCCTTTATCTGATTGAACAGTTGTTCTAGTAGAATAATTGTGCTAGTTTCTGCTGTGTGTTAACAGGAAAGGCTGGTGACCTTCTACCTGTGAAGAGGAAACCAGAAAAACTGCTCCAGCTGAAGAAGAAGGTATGTCCTGATGTGTGTATTTTTATGTTAACGATGCGTTTGTTCTGCCCATTAACTCTGCTGTCACCATCTGTCCTAGACAGGTTCAGGTTCAGCTTGTTATTTTTTAGGAACATCAAGGCTTTTATTCTGAAAAGGTGTATATTCATATATTGGAAGTCAACATAACCCCCTTTTTCCATAACACAGTGGTGGGCAGATTAAGCACCAGATATTTCCCTAATAAGTCGGTGACAACATAACAGAAGCTAAAATAAATATTGTACCTCTTTTTGCCAGGGCACCATAAACACGGTCCCACACACATTTAATGGAAGTGTGAACAAACCAAAGCAGATCTTTTCATGTCAGATCTGAGCTGTTTCTACACAAGGTCCTAGATTTAAGTAATATTTGGTCTCTGACTATGCGACCGCTGTCAGCAAACATCTGTTGTCATAGAGCAGAGTGGCAATGGGGATCACTAAGGAAGATGAGGACATTTCACATCTGCTGGACATTTATGTAGAAGCATCTGATCAGGTCAAGTTGGAAGGAACATGTCGTAGTCAAACAGTTTGTGTGGAAATTGAGCAGTTGGATCGTCGCACTAATCTTGGTTTTATCCTTTATGTGCGTCTCCCATTTCAGTTAAATATGCACATGTGTTGCAGGTTTGGACCTCAGTAGTGTTCACACATGGGGTACAGAGTTGGATACATATAATTTATAAACGTCAGTATGAGCCGTCAACACAAAAGATGGGATCCTGCAAAAAATGGAATTGGGCACTAAGGCCTGTGATGTCAACTGTTTTCATCTTATTGCGCTGCTGAGGTAGTTATTGCAGCTTTAACTAAATTTTAACCATGCAGTATTTTATTTTTCTTTCATTCTTACAGCATATGTTGTCTTTTTAAGTTTAACCACCGTACTGTCTTTGGTAGGTCTGTTCATGTCTGTTTTCCAATAGAGAGTACAGACCAGACAAACACATTGGCTTTATTACACTGCACTATCACCCTGTTACTCTTTCTGGTGTTGGTAAATAAAATCAAGACATTGTTCTCAGGGAGGTACTTGACATCATGGCTTTTGGCTGCTTGGTTCTTTAATCTTGGGCTGTAGCGACTACTGAAACAGAAAGGTGTGTGTGTGTGTGTGTGTGTGTGTGTGTGTGACGGGGGGCGAGGCAGGGAGATAATGGGGTCTGTGTTGTCTTTCTCAGCTTTGAGCCAGGCTGGCTGGCCTACTCTACTGTCTCCAGTGTCCGTCTCTACAGGTTACAATACGACAACAACATCAGCATCAGCAAGGTGGGCTCCTCAGCACCGCCGCTGCTACTCCTTCATCTCCATGTTAGTCACTCACACAGCCCTGTCGGTCAACCTAGGAACATGTATATGCGATCTCTAACTACAGTAAGCAGTAAAACCATGAGCAGAACTTGTTTGGGGGTGAGATAAATGTAAACCTAGCTTCTTTAAACATTGGTATGTTTAGAGGATTTTAGTGCTACGTTCTAAGTGTATGGACGCATGAAGCTCATCTCTGTCTGTTTCCATCCTCCTCCTCTCTCCAGGTGTCCAGGCTACCCAAAGACCTTTCCTCAGCCCACCAGCTCTGCTTCTCCTCTGACTCTTCCAAACTCTTTGCTTCCACCAGTCATTCTTCAGTTGTTGTTATCGGCCTCGACCAGCTGGAGTGCAAATACCTTCATACCCTCAAACCCAAGTCAGGTGAGTGCAGAGTCCTCACTGCTCATGGGAGTTTGGGTGGGTGGGTGGGAAGCAGCATTGTGATTTGAAGCACAGCAGCTGTGTGGAGGTAAGAGAGCAGCCAAGCATCGTCCTCAGCTCTAAGATCTCATTTATTCACTATCTGTGGCACTTTCACTGTGAGCAATCACTGTCATCTTCCCGGAAAGACGGTGACAATTAGATGTGTAAACATAAACCAATACAAGGGTCAGATTTAGATCTGCGTTTTTAAGAAAAAATCGATCCAAAATCGATATGGATGTCATAAACCGACCTTTGCTAAGTGTCACGGTTTCTCGTTGTGCTCCACTCTAGTGTGGGCCTCTGGCGTGTGCGTATGCATATGTGTGACACACCATCTCCTGCTGGCATTCAAGCACATGCCCACTTCTTAATGCAGGTCCTGAATAAAACTCAGTTGGCTGCAGCAGCAAACAGTGCTAGTGTTAGCAGCCGCTCTCAGAGTGCACAACAGGCAGCGTTGTGTTGAGTATACCAGGAGGAGTAACACGCTGACCTCGCTAGTAGCGACGTTGCCAAGGCAACACATTGTTGAACCGATGGAAACAGGACAGTTTGCTGCAAGGACAGTTAGCTTGGGGCAAGTAGCAGTGCTAGTGCTGTTAGCAGCTACTTTCAGAGCACATCGGTTGGGTTGAAGTCAGTAGCTGAGGCTAGAAGCTATTTCATTGTCAAAGATGTGCGTCTGTGTTGTTGAAAATGTGGCAGTTGGACAGATGACAGTGACTTTGAAGTTGAGGCACACAGTCACGAGTCAGTGGGGTTTAAGTAAACAACACATCCAGCTCTGTGTGATGAGGTGAAACAGCAGCTGGAGCTTTACTGTTCACCAGGGCCCATGGTTTGCTGTTGGAAAGAGTAGACATTATGTTTTATCTGTTTGGCTTTTGCTGCTCGAAATACAAAACTGCTCTTAGGAAACACTAACCCTTTTGAATTTTGTACCCTTTACAGATACTATAGTGTATAGTCTTTCAAATAAAAGCTAAATTAAAAATGAATACCTGCTGAATCGAATCAAAATCATGCTGACTCTCATTGTATTGTTACAGAGTTTGCTGTATTGTCTTTGTAGCTAATCGTGGACCATGTAATGAGATGTTATCGAATCATGTGAGACTGAGAGATGTACACCCCAACTGAAAATAAACATCATCACCATTTTTAAACAGTATTGCATCTTCCTGGCAAGGTGGTCTGTCTCCATGTTGATCGGTTTCTCCGTTACATTGGCCTGAACCCAACCGCAGCTCTAACCCAAACTAGTCCATTTTCTGAGATGCTTAATGTGACCAACCTTACCCTCATCTTCATGTCTAACCATAAACGGTCACCGACCACATCAACCTCCCCAGTGTTAGTTGGTCATGTCTTGTTGCTTTGCTTCTTTTGTCTCTCCTCTATCCACTCACCCCAACCGGTCAAGGCAGAAGGCCGCCCACCAAGATCCGGGGTCTGTCAGAGGTTTCTTCTGCTAAAGGGAGTTTTCCTCCCCGCTGTCGCCAAGTGCTGCTCAGGGGGATTTGTTGGGTTTTTCCTCTACAGTACTGTAAGGTCTGGATTATGTTAAGTGCCTTGAGATGATTTTTGTTGTTTTGGCGCTATACTACCATTTTAACAGGAGGGAAACAAACTTCACCATGAGACTGAAAGTTTGCCAAAATGTCTTCACTTTATCAGTATTGATGGGCAGAAGTGGCAGTTTTATTTTTATTTAAAACCAAGCCTGCAATGCAGTGCATGCAACAAGAGAAAGGGTCCGACTATTTTCAGGAGCGATTGTATAATTAAGCATTAACATGGCTGACAGGTGTCCGGTGTGTGGAGTACAAAACAATGAGGCGCTGGAGCAGCAGCCGCTAGAGCTGTGAGGAGGAATATATTGTTTGGATTAGTGAAATGGGATATGGAACCTCAAATGGACGATTAAGATGCACTTTAAATAATACTGAAGGAAATCAAATGATCTTTTAGTCTCCTACACCAAGACCGCAGCAGGATGAGGTCAGAAACAGGTTTTGATCATGTTGTGGTTTGTTTTCTCATCATAATCACATGTTAATCTTGTTACAGATGCAGAAGAAACAACTCTGTCAAAGCACATTGAACCATACTTGTATTAATCTCACCAGAACTGCAAGCGACTCTTGGCATTTGTTGACTTGAAGTTACACGCACACCACCCGAGCTGTTATCCTGCAGAGTGTATAAGCGCTGTGTGTATGTTTGATGTCCAGGCTCCAGACAGCCAGTGCACCTGATGTTTGCAAGTGACGATGGCAAATGGCTCGCTACAGCAGCCACAGACTGCAGGGTTCACGTCTACAATCTTAACAAGCAGAAGGTGAGTTGGAGCTCAGGTGTTCTTCTCTGGCCATAGTAGGGTTGTAATGGTATGAGGTAGTCACGGTATGATGACACTCTCAATCATCTTTAATGGCCAAGTGTGTTTGAACATATAAGGAAGCTGACTCCAGTGCAGAGGCTCTCGATTTATTTGTAGGCAACAAGAAATGGAAAATAAAATAAAAAAAACGATGTGTGCATTCAAACAGAAAATATAAGCAATCAGAACAGGGCAGGAATGAGAGAGACCGTATATATACACACATTACAGCAGAAGCGCTTTCAGACCAGTATATATATACTGTTATATTTACAGTTTATTGCACCGGGGTGATGCTGTGTCCAGCCAGAGTCATGGGTTAAGTGTTCATCAGTATGGTGTCATGAGGGAAGAAACCGTCCTAGTGACTGGTTGTCTTGGCGTACAGTGACCTGTAGCGCCGTCTAGAGGGGAGGACTTCAAACAGGTTGTGTTCAGGGTGTGAGGGGTCTGCAGTGATCCTCTGTGCCCTCCGCCCTCCTTTTGACCCGTGAGGTGTATAGGTCCTCCATGGAGGGCAGGATGGCACAGATGGTTCTTTCTGCAGTCCTGACTTATACAATTATAAACATGATTTCAAAAAAGCATATAACTACAACATAAGGATAATAACCTTTATTGTCCAAGTATGTTACACACAAGGAATTTGCTTCTGGTACAGAACCGAGGTAGCCATCTGTGGCTGTGTCAACCGATGGCTCTAACCATCGGGGGCATTCAGTGTCTTGCCCAAGGACACTTCGACACGTGAACTGCCAGCACCAAGATTTGAACCTTCGATCTTCTGGTTGGGAGATGACTGCTCTACCCACCGCACCACTGTCACCTCATGTTCTATAACTAAAGCATGTTAGCCCCAGTAGTAGAGGAAGGATTCATATCCTTTACTTGAGTAAAAGCACTAATGTCAAACTGTAAAAGGAGCCTACTCTGTTACAGGTGGAAGTCCTGTACTGAAAACTGTAAAATTAAGTATTATCAGGAAAATGTACTTAAGGTATTAAAAGTAGAAGCAGGATACTCAATGCAGAGAACTGCTGTACTATATATTCTATACTGTCATACTATATAACAGCCTGTCACTCGTGCACTGATGTAAAAGCAGGACTTGACTGTTGGTTGAGGTGGAGCTCTGCTGAACTGGTTTGTATCCAAGTGCAGCTACAGATTATTTTCATGAGGAATTAATCTGCTGATTATTTTCTCTATTAATCGATTGGTTTGTAAAACAATGGTGACGAATGTTCTCAGAATGCCCTAAACAACTATCAGCATAGTTGCTAATTTACTGTAGGAGCATGACAGCACAGCCAGACTGGTCCTGTCTGGACCTTCACTCACACACACACTGTGAGCCAGGAATGATTGTGTGTGTCTGAGGTTAGATCAGGATCAGCGTCCTGTTGTACGTGAGAATTGAGCAAAGCGCATTGTATGACTGATGGTTATATGCTCACAGTTGAGTGACAGAAGTTATAAATGTTCCACATTGATCTGCACAGAGGGACGGTGTTCTCCAAGGTGCTCGTTTTGAGATATCCAGAAAAATCCTGCACTGCTGATTTCTTTTTCACTGGATGGAGTTTGGTGACAGGTTATCAGCTTACGGGCAGTTGAGGAAGAAACGTGCACACGCATTGCATTTTCTTCTTCAATACCAGTAATAAACAAATGTGCATGATATGCTAACAATCGATTTTCATACCATGATATACCCTGAAACCAGATAGCGCTGCAACCCCAGTCCATTGTGTTTCTCGGACACAATGGACACAACAGTAAACTCCTTGCGTTTGTGTTTGCAGCTTCATTGTACAGTTCCAGTGTATAGTTCCTGTCCCACTGCTATAGCAATCCACCCAATGACTGGCAACCTCATCATGGCACATGCTGACCAACAGGTAAATCCACAGTAAGGTCAGGCACAACATGAGGTTTCTCAGAGGTAACACTGACATGGACACACTCCACAGATGGCGTTACAGTGTGCTTTCTGCCATGTGCTTGTGGTGTAGATCTTTGAGTACTCCCTGCTGCACAAGGAGTACACTGAGTGGAGTCGGAAGCTGCAGAAACGAGGCCTGCACCCCCTGTGGCTGGAGAGGGACACACCCATCACTCATATCACCTTCAATCCCAGAAACCCAGCTCACATCATTGTACACGACATGTTCATGTTGTGCATCATTGACCAGAGTCTGGTAAGTGAGCGTTGTCTGGGTCATTTACACTGACATGCTGGTACAAGACCTACAACCCTGTCAGTGCCGTGTGTGTTTAAGGTCTTTGTTTCAACATGCAGCCACTCCCTGATGCAACAACTCGGCTCTACAACCAGATGACACTGAGGAGTGTTCCTGAGCAGGAGCGGCTCAGACACAGTCACGCCTTCAAGATCTGCAAGAGTTTTCAGGTGCTGTCGTCATAGTGAGCACAGTGCTGCACAACCAAGTGGAATCAGACAGCAAACGCTGATGTCTCATGTTCTCTTTGTTCTGTCCACAGCACCTCATGTGTGTGAGTTTATTGGAGGACCAGTCTCTGGTTGTAGTGGAGCGCCCCCTGCTGGACATCGTTTCTCAGCTGCCTGCACCCGTCAGGAGGAAGACATTTGCCACATAAAGGAACTGAGGCAGGTTTTCTTTAGATTGCTCAGCCTAAATGTTAGAGCAGATTGTTTCACTTCAAATCCCACATCCAGAATCATGTTTGACAAGTGTTAGTGTCACCTCTTTGTAAACAATGTTTTGATAAAGTAATAAATTGAATTATTCACTCTTTCTGATTTGACTGAGAAATGTATTCACTGTTGTTTCCTGCTCTCAGACCAGACAACAGAAGTTAAACAGGTTGCCAGCTTCTCCCATTTATGAAGCAGCTCTGATACTCCTGGAGAAGTTAAGACTAGAGGTGTTTTGGTTCTCGACCAGTTGGGGTGAGTGGATAGAGGAGAGAGAAAAGACAAGAAAAGCAACAAGACAACAATCAAACACTGGTCAGGTAGATGTGGCCAATGACTGCTCATCAGAAACGTAGAGCTCCAGGGCAACCTGCAGAAAGGTACAGGGAGAGAGAGAGGACACAGTGACGCATAATGGTGGCATATAAAAATAAAACTGAGCTCAGAGCATCATGGGATGACCCTCAGCTTAGGCCTGTAACTAAAGGATGGTCCACCAAACCAAACTTAACCTAGAATACATGTCCAATAATTTCATAGACACCACTACATGTGTGCAAGCGAAGGCCGTCCTGTTGACTAGAAACCACTGGTACGGTTAAATATCCTCAGTGGCAACAAGACAGCCTAGGCCCCCAGTTTGCTTGCAGTTACCAAGATGGCTGTCAGTCTTATCCCTGTTCAGCCACATTAGTTGTTCTGATGCCATAAAATATCAGAAGACATAACACAACATACTACGTACCTTTCTACCCTCCCTCACTGTCCTACTAGGATTATGTTGAAAACAATATAATAACCTAACTATAAGCTTTATCAAAAAGAAAAGTCTTAAGTATAATCTTAAAAGTAGAGAGGTCTGTCTGCCTCCCTAACTGAGACTGGGAGTTGGCTCCACAGGAGAGGAGCTTGATAGCTAAAGGCTCTGCCTCCCATTCTACTTCTGTGGACTCTAGGAACCACAAGTAAACCTGCACTCTGAGAGCGAAGTGCTCTGTTAGGATGATAAGGCTCTATGAGGTCTTTAAGATACGATGGAGCCTTGCCATTAAGGGCTTTGTATGTTAGAAGGATTTTAAATTCTATTCTGAATTTTACAGGGAGCCAGTGGAGAGAAGCTAATATGGGAGAGATATGATCTCTCTTGCTAGTTCCTGTCAGTACTCTGGCTGCAGCATTTTGGATTAACTGGAGGCTTTTTAGGGAATTATTGGGACATCCTGATAGTAAAGAGTTACAGTAGTCCAGCCTGGAAGTAAGAAATGCATGGACCAGTTTTTCAGCATCACTTTGAGACAGGATGCTCCTGATTTTTGCAATATTGCGCAGGTGAAAGAAGGCAGTTCTAGAGACTTGGTTTATGTGTGATTTAAAGGACATATCCTGATCAAAGATGACTCCAAGGTTCCTCACAGTAGTACTGGTGGCCAGAGCAACTGTATGTCATCTAGAGTAATCTCTGGACACTGTTTACATAGGGCTTCCTTTTGGCACAGCACAGTTTTAAGCAGCATGTATGGATGTAACTACATATTGTAGTGGCTGACACAGGTATTCCAAAGTAATCCTGAGCCCATGTGGTTATATCACTTATAGAAGAGTGACGATTCTTAATGCAGTGGCGTCTGAGGGATCGGAGAACACAGTCATCCAGCTTAGGCTTGGTCCTCGTCCTTTATGCACTGAAATCACTGCAGATACCTTGAATCCACATCAGTGGAAATAAGTCTTGGACTTTGTTATCCACAAAGTCATTTATGTAATTGTGTGGGGTTTGCTGGCCTTCTCAAATTAAGTGAAAACTAAACTAAATTTGTTCATTTATACATCCTTTTTAAAGCACACTCTACCACAGCTACACCTACAACTATACTGAAAGGAATATCTGTTCTGACAGCACCTCACGACCAGCTACCAACCAAAACATACAGTACGTGTTTTATGCCATCAAATGACCAAAACTCACTGACATCAGTGGACCTGGGACTTTCAGACCTGTCTTTGGTTTGTCTTTTGTTCAACTTACATGTTCCAACAAGAGCTTTGAATAAAGAAACACACTGAGAATATATGTTCTAATCCAACATTTGTCTTTATTTTTGCTTGAAAGAAACTGAACTTCAGTCAATATTTCACTTACAGAGTCCCACTGGGACAAACTACAAGATATCCAACATAAATAAATACACCCACTCGTGAGTAATCTAAACCCTTTGAATATGTCAAAATTTCACATGAAAAATAAATAATTGTTCAAATATTATTAAATTATTAAGTTAAATTATTTTATAAAACTAAACAGCTACTTTCATATTGATGGCCTTGCTGTCAATATGAAGATACGTACATAGTACAGTTGACATTGGCTGCAGAGCAGTAAACAAGTAAACAGGGTCAACAAAGACCTACAAAACAGACAATTATCATTTATCAAATATCAGTTGTGATCAACTGTCATAACGATGACAGTACATTGGCCTATAAAACAGGCCATGTGACTAACTTTTAAAGCTTCATAAATGATCCCAGGGCTGTCAGCTGTGCGGAGGTACAGTACGACAGTGCTGTCGTAGCCAGCAGTGTCCTGACTGACCACACTGTGAGACCCGACACCCCTGAGATACTCGTTAAAACTTGGTGCATTTTAAAACAAACACAATATGAACTGTACAGTGGTGCTATGTTGTGACAGCAGGTCTCGATGGCTCCCATCTAGGTGCTGGTGCTGGTGCTGGGTCTGGCACAAGTGCAGCCCACAGCTACTTCTACAGAAACTCGTGTTAGTTTGTATGTCTTCCCACCTCTGCAGCGCTCCTTTTTGAGAAACACCCGGTTCTGCTTTATTTCTTTTGAGTTGTAGTCGTTGCTCTCCACGACTTGATGATTCGTGCCCTGGATTAGGATGCACCCGGAACAAAGGCACTGAGCCTCTGCGTAGGAGGAAGGAAAGTAGTCCTCATTGGTTACACGTCTGCAAAGGAGCATGAAGATTCAGTTAGCAGCTCCAAATGCAGTGAGGAGATGCGACTGATATCTGTGACCTAATGGTAAAATGACCCTGTCTTGAAAAATCCTTCTTTTTTGACATGGCAAAATAAAATGTATTTTTGGAGATTCAGAGTTTTTAAAACTGCTGAATGTATGTTCACATATTCACATTATATCCAAATTATAAGAAAAAAAACATTAGGACTCATGGTCATATTCAGAATCTAGCAAGTAAGCAAGGGCTTCAGTGAGAGTGAACTTCTCATCTTTTTGCATAAAACAACCTCTTATTTACTTCATACAAAATCTTGTGCCTTATTTACCTAAATAACCAGTAGCTATAGCCTATAGCTGTTAAATAAGGGTAATGCATGGGCAGAGCCCGGGGGGGGGGGGGGCCCCGCACCCCCCCGTCTGATTGGCCACCCTGGTGCCGCCTCTGCCAGAGTCCAAATTAAAGAAAGAAAAAAAACATATTGTTGCCTTAATTACAACTAACATTTATTTGGTGCTTCATAATTGACATTGGTCAAATTAGATTTATATTTGATCATGCAGGTATTTGCATTCATTTGCATCCAAATGTGTTGTTGTGGGGTACTGGGCATGATTCACCTCAGTGGGGGAACCATTGTGCATCACCAGTGTTCCCAGCCAGGTGTACATCAGCAGTGCAGACAAAGTTAGCTCAAGACACCACAATGTGTGTCTCATTTTCACACAAAATAGCCATGCCACCTGCCTCTGAGTCTGTGCCTCAGCCTGGCTACCCTGTCCAACAGTTTCTAAATCCACCACAGGGTAAAGGGGTAAAAGGTGCAATATTTCCCTTTTTTGTTTCTAGTTTCTACATGGAAACAAAGTCATTCAGTGAGCAGCTAAAGGTGAACAAAGAGCTAGGAGGAGTTTGGAGCACTGCCTGGACGTAGAAAGTTTATGTCATCACGAATAAGCAATGACTGAAAGTAAAAAAATAAATAAATAAATAATCATTTGGGAGGCAGTAACCCTAAACTAATCTATACAGTGGGGGAGAGACTTTCTTTAGACCTTCTTTGTTCGCCCAGTGACAGGATTTTAAGCAGCGCACTGTGTTTTCAGTCTGTCTCTGGGATTCTCTAGATACACTCAGCTTGTTCTCACAAGCCAGTCTGTAACTGGGACTCCTCAGTTTCAGCTGAGAACTTCTGAGCAAGTTAAAGTCTAACTGGAAGGTTATGGCACAGCACAAATCACAGAGGAGACTAACACATCTGTCAGTGTGTCAAACCTATATCACAAAATGGGACTGTCTTTAAACAGGACCCTCTGAAATCGGCTCCACCAGGTGGCCAGGATTACTCTATCAGGGACCCAATCAAGCGCTCACGGATCCCCCTTTTTGGGACAATTCGACATGGTGTTACTTACACTAATCGCCATGGGGACAGGGACCTGTTGCGGAGTTCCTGAGATGGACTGTAATGCTCCACTGGACAGGAGGGCTTTGGTCCGGCTGTCTCCGCAGGTGGCTCCGGAGGCTGCGGGTAGTGCCTGCTCAGTTTCCTCTTGGCTACCAGACTCAGCTCCTGGTCGTTATAGCAACGACTCGTACACAGGGGCACGAGAAAAAGTCCAAATATGAGAATCTGTGGATGGGCGAAACGGAGTCAGATGAAGTAGTGGAGCAAGCAGAGAGCAGCCAGGTCTCGATGGCGCGGCCGTGTCTGCGTCTCACTCACCTGCTTCATGTTCATCCCCGGGTGTCCTCTGGCTTGCTGATGTCATAGGGGTCCGCTTTGCTTTCACTCCACTGCATGGTGGCAAGTCTTATTTATTGAGCCGGCATATCTGGGGAAAACCAACAGCATGAGGAAATGGAAACGTTCCTCGACTTCCTCTTTCCTGAGTGAAAGCAGTGTTAGTAGATGGGTTCTGACACAGGACGGGGTGGCGCAGGAATTTTCTACACGCGCACAAACCCAGAAATAAGGCGAGTCCCCGCACCATGTTGTCACAACACCTTTTGCACGGTCCAGTCCTGTGTAAACACAGCGTGGGCAACGCACCCACACGCTCTCTCACTCACACAGATGTGCTGATCTCACTGTAGTTGCGCTGTACCCTCACGCACTACCCTAAATTTAACCTTCACAACTAACTGCCTGACCCCACCCTAACTCTAACCTAAGCTTAATTCTAAGCTGAACCCTAAAACCAAGTCTTCGCCCTTTAAAAGGTGTGAGGACCAACCAAAATGTCCTCACAACAACTGTAGTGAACCAAAAGAACTACAGAAATATATGCACACACACCTACCCACTGACACACAGGAAAGGTGCTGTCAAAATACAATGTGATGAAACTGGAGACAACTGCTGAAATGAGGTCACCATCTATTTTAAGAGCACCCACTGGACCAACCTGAAGGCTGACATCTGACAAACTATTATTATTATCGCCATTGCATGGATTTATGTATAATAACTGACTGAGAGCTGAGATATAAATAGCCTGTTTGTTCTTTCACACATCTCTGCTATTAGTATTATTAGCTATGTTCACTAATGTGTACGTGCCTTTGTTTGTGAAGGGTTATTGTGAAGGTGGGGGTGAGACAAGCAGCAGCTGAAGTTAGAGTAATTCTCCATGAAATGAATGTAAGTCAGTGTAATGTTCTTTATAGTGACAGAAACACACGTCTGTTTCAAGTAGGAGACATGTGGAGTATATTGGACTTTTTTCTTTCATGTGTCTGAGTAAGACATTGTTATGCATATATTTGTTTATTCTTCCATTTACCTGTTTATTTCAGGATACTTAGGAAAATAATTATTAATAATGAATACACTTTTATCTAGGTGTTTCAGAACAAAAGCAAATTAAACTGCATTTTCTTTTTCACATACTGCATGTTTCAGGACGTGTGTGTATTCAGAACTGGAAAAAACCCTTGTTTCAGAACACACATAAATCAATTTAACTGAAAACAACAGTCATCGGCCTCATCCAAGACGGTGATGAGTCGCCCTACAGATGGGAGACTGAACATCTGGCCCTATAGTGTGGTCGTAACAACCTGGAGCTGAACATGTTGAAAACAGTGGAAATGATAGTGGGTTTTAGGGGGAGCTCCCCCCCCCACCATATCTCTGCTCACCACACTCAAGTTCTCAAGTCCTACAAGTTCCTGGGCTCTAGACAGCCCTGCAGGCTGGCCTGTGTACAGTCGTTCCTGGTGTTAACAGTTCTCACTGAGACTGGTTTTGCCTTGAGTGGACATACTACTTGTCTCCCATACTTGTTTTTGCCTACCACGTAGTAGGCAAGTAGGCAATTTTGGATGCATCAAGTGGCTCTGGAGCAGAAGAAAGGTGTGTGTGAATGAGGTAAAAATAGGTAAGTGAGTTACAGTGGGTACGGAAAGTATTCAGACCCCCTTAAATTTTTCACTCTTTGTTATATTGCAGCCATATGCTAATATCTGTGCAGATTCTCAGTCATCCAGGTCATAGTAAACCGCAACCGAAATAACCTTGGAAATCAACTGGACTTGGAATTCTAGATTGAAGACGTTTCACCTCTCATCCAAGAGGCTTCATCAGTTCTGACTGACTGGTGTTGAGTCGGAGATATTTATCCCCCTCGGTGTGGTTTCGGTCCTTAGAAGGCCAACAATGTCCATTAACGACTGAGTCGTTACAGCCCAGCCCAGTATCAGTGAGGGTCGTTACCTGTCTTTGGATCCTCCCCTGTCAGCCGACGCCTATTGTCCTGGTGGGCATGTTTGGGCAGAGATCTCAAAACCGGGTTGTAGATGGAAGACAAGTTGTGTCTTAGTTGTGTCTTTTTTCTTCTTATTACCAACACAGAATACAGCAAACTTTACTCACGTTCATGGACGCACACCAGAAGGGGGGTAAACTTGGTAATACATTCCGACTAACTGGAACTCTGAACACAATGCTATTTAGCCCCTCACACGGTGGCTAATGTGACACACTCTGAGAACTGGAACATACCACTCACGGGGGGAGAAACAAGAGGGGAGGAAATGGAATAGTCCAAGTGACATTACCCTTTTGTGAGAAAATCTGCACATATAGGAAAGGCCTAATGCCGTTACACAACGTTAATGGTCTGGCACTTTAGGAAGGCTGATGATCCTGGAGACAGGTCGAATGTAGGAGCAATCCCTTACCCTCACTTCAACAGTCCTTACTTTACCGTCAGGTGAAGGTGAAGTCTGGATGATCTGTCCAATAGGCCAACTAGCCCGAGGTAGCTGGGGGTCAACAACCAGTACTGTATCCCTAACTTGAAGGTTGGGACAGTCAGAGCACCACTTCTGATGAGTCTGGAGGCCTGGCAGGTAGAAACGGATGAAACTCCTCCAAAAGTGGTCCGCCAGCAGTTGACTATGTCACCACCGCCGTCTACAAAGTAGCTCTGACTCTGGGTACACAACCTAAGGCAGGGATGAATCCAGCCGCCCCATGAGCAAGATGTTGGGTGTGATTGGATCCGGGTCTGCAGCATCTGAGGAGATGTATCCCAGCGGCTTGGAATTGAGGATGCCCTCAATTTCTACAAGTACAGTCTGCAGAACCTCTTCAGGGACCAACTGTTCACCGATGGTGACTTGAAGTGCCTGTTTGAGTGACCTTATCTCTCTCTCCCAACAGCCACCAAAATGGGGAGCACTTGGTGGATTAAAGGTGAACTTAATCTGTTGAGATGAAAGGAGATCTTTAAGTCCAGGCTGTAGTGAGGTAAATGCTTCTTGAAGCTCACGCTCTCCACCTTTAAAATTAGTGCCTTGATCTGAGAGCAGTTCAAAGGGCTTGCCTCGGCGTGCCACAAATCTTCTCAGAGCCATCAAAAAGGAGTCAGAGTCAATGCTAGAAAGGAGGTCCAAGTGAACTGCCCTAGTAGTCATACACTTGAAAATAATTCCCCATCTTTTCTCGGTTCTCCTACCAATCTTAATACGGTAGGGACCGAAGCAATCTACTCCTGTGGAATAAAAGGCCGGCTTGAGAAGGCGCAACCTTGCCGGAGGGAGATCTGCCATCCGAGGGTGTCTTGGGTTCTCACGCTATTTTCGGCATTTGGTACAACGATACTGATGTCGTTTGACTGCCTCCCTTCCCCTCAAAATCCAGAATTTTCTTCTCAGCTCTGCGAAGACCCGTTCACTTCCTGGGTGGTGAAGGAGATCGTCATGGTGCTGGATGAGAAGCTGAGTGATCTTATGTTTAAGATCAAGAACAACTGGGTGAAGCATCTCAGGTTCAACATCAGTAGCGTAGCATAGCCGGCCTCCAACACGACTGAGCTGGGCTGAATTGTCAAACTCTGGGGCGAGATTGATAAGACGACTGCTACTCAGCAGAGACTTGCTCATCAACAGTTGCTGAAAGTCA